TGTAGTGATTTATTTGTAAGGGATGATGAAAGGCAAAAGATGTTAGAAACACAAGAACTGTTTTATGAATGAATTAATCTTTTAACTTTTAATGGCAACTATGTGTGTTTTAAAAAATCTGCACATTACAGAATGCACAGGTCTTATGTTTTTATTTTGATCAATTTTAATAAGTTATACACCCTTGTAACCACCATATAAATCCAAATATAGAACATTTCAATCATATAAGATCACCCTTTGCCACTTTCTAGTCAATATCCCTAGCCCACAGACATCTATTATTCCCATTGTTATATAGAGTCATATAGAAGGTACTCATTTGGGTTTCTTTTGTTCACTATATTGCTTTTGAGATTCATCCATGCCTGTGTGTATTGGTAGCTTTTTCTTCTTCACTGTGGATTCCACTATGTGTATTCCATTGTGGGGATATACCATAATTTGTGTATCATCTCAACTATTGACAGATACATGGGTTGCTTCCAATTTTTCACTATTATAAATTAAATTATAGACATCATGGGTAAGGTCTTTTGTGGACATATGTTTTCATTGCTCTTGGGCCTATGAGTGGAATTGTTGAGTCACACAATAGTTATATGGTTATTTTTATTAGAAACTGTCAAACTGTTTTACAAAGTGGTTATATCATTTTTTTTTAACCTCCACTAGTAAGGTTTGAGAGTTCTGATTGTTCCTTTTTTCTTGCCAATACTTGGTACTGTCAGTCTTTTAAAATCTCAGCCATTCTAGTGGGTGGGTAATATTCTCTCATATGGTTTTAATTTTAATTCCCCTCATAAATAAGGATTTTGTGTGCTTATTAGCATTCATAGTCTTATTTGGTGAAGTGTCTGTTTAGGTCATTATTTTAAATTCAAGTTTCCTATCTCACATTCATAAAACTGATAGATATGCATTTTCTCTCAGAAATGCACCGAGAGATCCTCTGCTTTCTTGCTTTTTTAATTGAATTGGAATTGACATAACATTATATTAGTTTTATATGCACCATATAGTGATTAAATAATTGTATACATTACAAAATGATGACCACAATGTCTAGCTGCCATCTTTTACCACATAAAAATATTACAATATTATTGACTATATTCATTATGCCATACATTCCATCCCTGTGGTTTATTTACTTTGTAGCTGGAAGTTTGTACCTCCTAATCCCCTTCACCTGTTTTACCCCTGTCCCCACTCCTCTCCTCTCTGGAAACCACCATTTTGTTCTCTGTGTCTATGAGTTGGTTCCTCTTTTGTTTTGCTTTTTAGATTCCCCACATAAGTAAAATCATACAGTATTTGTCTTTTTCTGTCTGACTTTTTTCACTTAGCATAACACCTTCTATGTCCATTCATGCTGTCACAGATGGAAAGATTTCATTCTTTTTCATGGCTGGGTAATATTCCATTATTTTTATCTTTATATTAAATATGAGATATATAATGTCACATATAATATATATCATATATATCATATATCTCATATTTTTATCATATATATATATATANGAGGGGTTTGGGGAGGGGGGCATTGCCCAGTGAAGGGCAAAGTTGTGGGGCATCAGCAGCCCATATTCAGAGCAGCTTGGGATGGTTTTTGGCCCCAAAGAAGAACCTTTTTGGAACACCATGGTATCAACTGGGCTTTCTCAGGTGGTACAGAGGTAAAGAATCTGTCTGCCAGTGCAGGAGACACAAGAGGTGTGGGTTTGATCCCTGGGTTGGTAAGATCTCCTGGAGGAGGAAATGGCAACCCACTCCAGTATTCTTGCCTGAAAAATTCCACAGACAGAGGAGCCTGGTGGGCTACAGTTCAAGGAGGGAGGGTCACAAAGAACCCAACACAATTAAATACAACACACACATGTGGTATCAGCTATAGTCACCTCTTGTACTGCCTAGATCTACTTTCCTCTTATAATAAGTTTATTATACCTGGGAACAGGGTCTCTAAAACTCTGATTGGGCCTATTTCCTAGGAAACTTGGGGTTAAGAGGATGAACTATAGACCCCTCAGCCATTCTAATTAAAGCTGTAACTGAAACTCATCCTTCCTCCCCTTACCACCACCTCTGGATTCCTCTCCCCCTTGGCAAGCACCTCTACTAGACTAAGCAGTTAGCTGGGTTGGGTGTGGGGTGGTAATCCAGACTTTGATCTTTGAGGGGTCTGAGCCCCTGGTTCCCAAGTGCCTAACAGGCTGTGATGACTGTACTCATCCATTTAACATTAAAATTAGGCCCAGGAGTGCCAAGAGATATACTTGGTATTTTGCTGAATACCAGACATCTCTGTTCCCCGTGTCCGAAGGCAGTTCTCAGTGAGGGGCACATCTGTGAGCTTTCAAATTTCAACTCTGAAGAGTTAGGAGATGCATTAACTGGCCCTGAGGCAGAGATCTAATACCACAGTATATACTGGAAAAAGAAGTCAGAATTTCCAGGACTTCTCATGAATTCCAAATTACTTCCTATTTTCATAACACTTTGTAGATGTTTAGAAGGTATATAATGAGAAATATTTCCATCTCTGACCAAGATGGAGAGACAAGAACCAGAATTACCCTCCTGCCTAAAACAATCAACACACAAATCTGACAACATATATAAAACAATTGTTTTCACGACACTGGACTCCAGGAAACAAATGATCTGCAGAGGGCCCTCCTCAAATATGGAGTACTGATCAGCACATTTGTGTGAGGAAGGGAACTGGGACTGTGGAAAGAACCACTGGGAAGGATTGGAGGCAACAGTGCCCAGCATTCACAAAAGGTTGGGATAGTGCTGCCAAGAGTCAGACTGGAAAACTTCATAACACATGGGCCATAAAGCACTCAGAAGGGTTTCCTTCAATAGTGGGGAATATTCATTGGAAGAACTGATCCTGAAGCTCCAATACTTTGGCCACCTAATGGGAAGAACTGACTCATTGGAAAAGAGCCTGATGCTGGGAAAGATTGAAGGCAGGAGAAGGGGACAACAGAGGATGAGATGGTTGGATGGCATCACCTTCTCAATGAACATGAGTTTGAGCAAACTCCAGGAGATGGTAAAGGACAGGGAAGCCTGGCATGCTGCAGTCCATGGGGTCGCAAAGAGTTGGAAACAACCTTAGATAGGCCCAGGAGTGCCAAGAGATATACTTGGTATTTTGCTGAATACCAGACATCTCTGTTCCCCGTGTCCGAAGGCAGTTCTCAGTGAGGGGCACATCTGTGAGCTTTCAAATTTCAACTCTGAAGAGTTAGGAGATGCATTAACTGGCCCTGAGGCAGAGATCTAATACCACAGTATATACTGGAAAAAGAAGTCAGAATTTCCAGGACTTCTCATGAATTCCAAATTACTTCCTATTTTCATAACACTTTGTAGATGTTTAGAAGGTATATAATGAGAAATATTTCCATCTCTGACCAAGATGGAGAGACAAGAACCAGAATTACCCTCCTGCCTAAAACAATCAACACACAAATCTGACAACATATATAAAACAATTGTTTTCACGACACTGGACTCCAGGAAACAAATGATCTGCAGAGGGCCCTCCTCAAATATGGAGTACTGATCAGCACATTTGTGTGAGGAAGGGAACTGGGACTGTGGAAAGAACCACTGGGAAGGATTGGAGGCAACAGTGCCCAGCATTCACAAAAGGTTGGGATAGTGCTGCCAAGAGTCAGACTGGAAAACTTCATAACACATGGGCCATAAAGCACTCAGAAGGGTTTCCTTCAATAGTGGGGAATATTCATTGGAAGAACTGATCCTGAAGCTCCAATACTTTGGCCACCTAATGGGAAGAACTGACTCATTGGAAAAGAGCCTGATGCTGGGAAAGATTGAAGGCAGGAGAAGGGGACAACAGAGGATGAGATGGTTGGATGGCATCACCTTCTCAATGAACATGAGTTTGAGCAAACTCCAGGAGATGGTAAAGGACAGGGAAGCCTGGCATGCTGCAGTTCATGGGGTCGCAAAGAGTTGGAAACAACCTTAGCGACTAGACAACAACAATAGTGGGGAAAAATCAGCTGTAGAACAAACATTCTTCTAGTCCTGACTAATGAATCTTAAATGAAAAAACAGAAAGGATCACACTTTTTCTAAATAATTTAATTGTATCTCTGAACAAATCCAAGGATGTTTACAGGCAGACAAAATACCCAGCACTCAACACGGCAGGACTCATAATGTATGTTATCTAATCAAAAATTAGCAGTCATGCAAACTCCCAGGCAGGAAAATAAGACCCATAACGGGAAAAATCAATCACTCTAACAAAACCAAATAAACATACATGTTAGAACTAGTAAACAAGGATGTTAAGAGTGTTACAATTAACTATATTCGGTATATTTAAAGTTAAATAAGGACATGGGAGATACTTATAAAGACCCAAATCTAACTTCTAGAGCTGAAAACAATGTGTGAGGTGAGAAATGCATTGATTAGGGGTAAGGAATGATTATACACTGCAGAAGAAAATGTTAGTAAACTTGAAGACATCACAATTGAAACTGTCCAAAATGAAATACAGTGAGAAGAATTCCTAACATGAATGGAGCATCTATGAGGTGTGGGACAGCTTCAGACAGCCATGTAATCGGATTAGGGATCCTCACTTGTAAAAGGAAGACAACAGAAGCAAGATTGAGAAGTTAGAGATCTAATGGTGGTGCAGAGCTGAGAAAAACTTGGCCAGCATGGCAGGAAGCACTGGTTGAATATGCCCATCAGAATGTTCTGAATGGGGACTTAACTGGTGGTCAGTGGTTAAGACTTCACTGTCCAATGAAGGGGGTTCAGGTTTAATTCCTTGCTGGGAAGCTAAGATCCCACATGCCTCTTGGCCAAAAAGCCAAAATGCAAATCTGAAGCAACATTGCAACAAATCCAATACAGACTTTTTTTAAAAAAAAAAGAATGTTCTGAGTGGTCTTTATGACCTCACATTGCTCACTTGCCAGATCCACCCACCTCCCTCATGTCCCGGAAGTATATGACCTCCCCCATGCCCCAGAAGTATATGACCTCCCCCATGCCCTGAAAGTATATGATCCTGGGTAAGGGGTCTCTCTGCAGGAGAGAGTTTTTCATCATGTCTGGAGCTGGAGGCCTTCGGTTGCTGCTGATCAACAAGACATTCCTCGAAGAGGAATCTTGAAGCAAACCTCCAGATCAACCACAAAGAGCATGAGCTTCAGAGTTAGATGACTCAGGTTCAAGACCTGATTCTGCCATTTTGGGTAACTTCTCTGTTCTTTGTTTCCCCAAGTGTATGATGGAGTTGGTAACAAGTGTTCCTACTTCGTGGGGTTATGTGAAAATTAAGTAGAAACTGACTGGGCAAGTGTTAAGGATTCTACAAATATTTGCTATGATTGTTCTCATTGCCTCATTTAATATTCCCACTGGCCCTACAAAATAGGTATTCTTATCTTCATTTTGCAAATCAGAAAACAGATCCTTTATTTTTTAATTTGGTCACATCCCTTGGCTTGCAAGATGTTAGTTTCCTGACCGGGGATTGAACCCACGCCCTGGGCAGTGAAAACATGGAGTCCTAACCACTGGGCAGCCACGGAATTAATTAAAAGGTCAAATAACTTCCCTAAGGTCACCCAGACAGGACTAAGTAGGATCAGAATCCTAACCTGGGCCTCTTTGAGACCAAAAGTTACCTGTATGCTTACCTTTTTTATGGTTGTCATTATTATTTGTTTGTTGCCCTTGAATTATTTATGTAGACTGTAAGTATTTTGAGTTTTTTTTTTTATGACTAAGGCTCAGCATAATCTACAGCATGGAATAGGCACTCAATCAATATTTTGTGACTTCTTTTACTTATAGAGGGTTTCCCTGGTGGCTCAGATGGTAAAGAATCTGCCTTCAATGAGGGACAACCTGGGTTCAATCCCTGGATTGGGAAGATCCCCTGGAGAAGGGAATGGCAACCCACTCCAGTATTCTTGCCTGGAGAATTCCATGGACAGAGGAGCCTGGCGGGCAATAGTCCATGGAGTCGCAAAGAGTGACTTTCACTTCACTTTACTTATAGAGACTACTGAATTATTCTACTCTTGATATGATTTTTTCTTTTTTCTAATTGTTCAGGGGCTGCCTATTCTACACTGATATCATAACCCAGACAAACAAAGCTGCTCTGTAAAGTTAAATAAGGTGCAAACATTTCTGGAACTTTGTTCTCTGCCTCCCTGATGAGCTTCAAGCACACAAGATAACTAAACTGATCTGCTTTTTTGCCACAAATATGTGTTTCAATTCCTTTTTTGTCTTTATTCAACAAGTGTTTTTAGAATAAAACTATTTATTTTATATATACCTTGTGTATATAAATATATGCACATATATATAACTTGGTTTTTTTTTGTATTTTATTTATTTATTTTTCATTTATTAGTTGCAGGCTAATTACTTGTTTATTTGTAATAACTAAGATGAATAAGAGATTGAAGGGGTTCATTAAGTAGGTACTAATTTTCATCTAACCCCCCCAAAATACCATGGCTAAAAAATAGGTGAAAACACTGGGAGTGCTAAGAACAAACTGATTTTATAAACAGCGCAGGAAATATGAAATAGTTTAGCAGGGTTGTAGCACAGTGTGAAGGTAAGTATTTGAATAAGCTAAAATACTAGCACAACTTTGGTGGTAAAAAGCAAAATTTGGTCTATGTCACTCATTAACAATTTTATTAATAAATTTATCAGGGGTTAATGGGAGTCTCATGTGAATAATCAAGACAGGATTTTCTCCCCTGTCTAGTTCACTGATCCATCTCAACAGTTTGGTAGCAATCAAATTTCCTGGGAAAACAAAGTCCCAAAAAATGATCTGGCTGAGTGAAATATTGTAGCAAACATCTGTGATTTTTGCTTATGTATTATGATAACAGCTCCATGATTTTCTCCTTAAAGATACCCATCCCCTATCCTTAGTTTATGTAGTCTGAGTATAACTGATCCACAGGTGAGCATGTGACTTAAACAAGGTTCAAATAAAAATTGTGAACCAGTTGGAACCAGCTGGACTCAATAACAGGGCTTTTTGGGGGGAGGGGCTGTTAAAAATACAGAATCTCTCTTTCTCATGGGGTTAATGAGTAGACAGACTATAGCATAGTTATTGCTGGCAGTCATCATGCCATCATAAAGCAGCCGACTTCCAAGGTAAATGGAGCAACATGGGAGGGAGCATGAACCAAAAGAGAGAGAGAGAAAGGTAGGTAGGAAGGCAGGGAGGAAAGAAAGGAGAGAGGCAGACTTGATAACATTTTGTAGCCCTTGGATTCAGGTGTACTTCAAGTTCACCCTGGTATTTTTCAATTACCTGAACCAGTGTATTTTTGTTTTACCTTAAGTCAGTTTGAGTTGGATTCTCCTCCACATATAATTGAAAGAGTTCTAATATAATAGCTACTAATTTATATAAGCATCAGATTGCATTATGTTCTTAAGTCTTGGATAATAGTAAGTATGTTTTCTGAGTACTTATTTTCCACACACCCCAAAAGGCCGGTTAAAAAGTGATATATTCTGTGGTCTACCAGGGTGACTTATATTTCAATGTCATTAATGATTTAGTGTTTTGGAGTTACAGTACAATGTACGCTCGCTTGTTTGTTTTGTGTTTTGGTTTTTGTTGCTATAATTAAGTTATACTCAGCTCAGCTTGATGAACCTTCTAGGATAATACTTAAATAAAAATGACAAGATAATAGTGAATTTAAAAATTTAAACATTAGGAAATCACACAGAGAAAGGCGGAGATAGCTGTATAGGAAATGAAATACAGAATTCTGGTACTGTCATTAAAAGATACCATTTAAGCATATGCTTTCTAGTAACCAAGGCCAGAAGAAGATTAAAAGGGATCTTGTAATCTCTATCATCTGTTAAAAGGAAGCTTGTCAGTTACTCAGAAGAGACAAAAAGTTCTTAACAAAATTTTTTGTCAAGTTTTCTCAGAAAACCTCCAGTCATTTAAAAAAAATACTTGTTTTGGGATCTGGACTTTTGTTAGAAAAGTCTCATTTTGTTTGCTTTGTTTCTATTTTGTTTTTCCCATTCATTACTCGATTTGGTAGTGACTTTAACAAAATGCCGTGATAACGTTTTCATGGCTTGCCTAATGCCTAATGATTAGAGAAGAAGAGATAGAAACCAGCTGGTTTCACCTTCCGCCAGGCTAAGACTGAAGCGATGTATCTTATCAGACAATTGAAACCACTTGCTCCAGCTCTGACCCTGTGCTCCAAAGGTCAAGGAGGTAATGTGCAAATTCGGGATGCTTCTGAAAGTCTTTTAAAAGACTTCTGGGTGGTAAAGCCTTGGCTGAAATGACTTCTTCATGTTCTCTGGAAACTCAAAGCCAGTATTTCTGCACAGAGTCTGGGCAGAAGTGGTTGGATTTGACCTTGTTACTTCAAAGCGTACAATGCACTCTTAAAGATAAAGGAAAACATCGCTGCCTCAAAACAAATGGACCGCTGGCTCCAAGCAATCATTTGAAGGTACTTAAACAGTCAAAAGCCATTAATATTATCACAAAGTTGTACCCCTCTTCTTGGGAATCCTACAATTCATTTTCCCTAACTGGCATCTATGTTTGGCTCTATTTCCCTTTTTTCCTTCAGTCGCAAGTCTCTTGTCTTTAAATTAAGTGCTTCATCAAGCAGTTTATGAGACAGTTCGTTCCATTCTCATGCATGTTTCCAGCAATCTATAGCCTCTTTTCAAAATCCAGAAATAGCAAAATTAAAACCCTGTATCAGTAAGTAGTGTTTAGTAAGAGTTTATTGTGCATAGAACAGTTCTCCAATGGGGAGCTTTCAAATTTAAAACCAGTATGAAGCTCAGGGGTATGACATCATAGAGTGGCATATAAAGTGAAAATGAGAAAGCTGTTTAATCTTTATAATGATTGGTTACTAGAATGGGGTTGTTCAGAAAGCAGGGAATTGATTAAAAGGATTATCTCCTACCAATGTTAGAAAGACAACAAGTTTCTTTAATGATTATCAGAGGCATTAAGTTTTGCTTATGTTCATGAAATAACCTAAGTTCTGCTTATATTCATGAGTAACCTAGATTTAGCTTTGCTTACATGGCTTAAATAGTTTTTGCCTGCACAAAGGATTTGCAAGTCTGGTCTCCATTTTGTATTTAGGTTTAATATCTGTGAGATCCCAACTTAATCAGATTTCCCCTCAGTTTTTTAAGGGTTTGTTTACTTAATGTGTCATTGATATTTATATATATTTATACACATATAATTGACATATATATACATGTATATCTCGAGGCCTGAATCATTTAGTCTGTTTATTAATCATTTTATCAGAAAAGTCTCCTGAGATTAAGCATCTCAATCTCAATGAAGTCCATGAGGCAATGATGCAGGAAGCAAAGACAAAATAAATTATATACAATTATATTTTCTTAAAATAAATCTAAGTTTTTCCTTAGAAATACCAGTGTATTCTGTTGTGTGTAATAGTCTCCTCTCAGTTCAGTTCAGTTGCTCAGTAGTTTCCAACTCTTTGCAACCCCATAGACTGCTGTACGCCAGGCTTCTCTGTCCATCACCAACTCCCAGAGCTTACTCAAACTCATGTCCATCGAGTCGGTGATGCCATCCAACCATCTCATCCTCTGTCATCCCCTTCTCCTCCTGCCTTCAATCTTTCCCAGCATCACGGTCTTTTCCAATTAGTCAGTTCTTCGCATTGGGTGGCCAAAGTATTGGGGTTTCAGCTTCAGCATCAGTTCTTCCAATGAGTATTCAGGACTGATTTCCTTTAGGATTGACTGGTTGGATCTCCTTGCAGTCCAAGGGACTCTCAAGGGTCTTCTCCAACATCATAGTACAAAAGCATCGATTCTTCAGCATTCAGTTTTCTTTATAGTTCAACTCTCACATGCATACATTCATTCTCTCTACAGTACCCTTTTCATCTTACCAGTAGGTTTCATTCTATGGTAATTATACCTCAATGCAAGCATTATTTCCAAACCACACAATTTCAGTCATAGAGTTGGTTGGTGGCTCAGATCCACCATATGAAGCTCTTTATCAGTGATTTCTGTTTCCTGTTTGTCAATGATTTCTAGAAATGAAAATGAGAAACTGTGGGAGAGGAACAAGGTAACTTCTACAAGTGATAGAAACAGTTGTATGAGAAATGTTAAGACCAGAAATTCCCTCTATCTTTTGACACTTGGATATACATTTGCTTATGAAAAGTTTGCTTATTTCTATTGATGAATGTTTATCTCAAATTTTGATATTTAATGTTTATCATTTCCTTGTGTCTGTAAAGATGATGACAATTTCAAGATGTATATGATATAGTAGTATTCTGATAGCATACTTTATGGTGAAGACCATAGATTTGTAATAGCTATTAATATAACAGTGATGGTGTCCAGAATAGAACAACTAAGCACCAAGTCATCTCAGAATATTTATAAATGAGTTTAGGAGCCACAATTTGGGGTTGGAAGGGAGGACTGAAAATATAATACTGCAAAAGGAACAAACTCAAATATTTACAGGGATATGCATTAGTATCATAGAGCTTTTAAGTTTGTTATTTGACTTTTCCTGACACCTGAGTGTCAGGTGTCACTTATTTGACACCTGAGTAACTGTGAGAGAAAGATTGTTCCCATTCAATGGAGCACACTTTACTTGGTCATTTTTTAAACCTCACTACCACTTGACTGCATGATAGGATTTAAGTTATCATACATCGTCTGTTAACATTTCTGAATAGGACAAGTCTTTATTCAATCAGGAACAAGACTTCATATATCAATGATTCTCCAGTTGAAATCAACAAGCATGTGCCTAGAGTCCTTTTCCACCAGCCAACAAAATCCAAGCCCTTTCTTCCTGTGTGCCAGCTGAAAAACTCATACTTGCACAGAATGCTGTTTTTAACCTGTACTTAAGGACTGCACACGGAGTCACTAAGAATGCCTAAACTTTGATAGCCAAGAACTAAAATTAGCATCTACTTTCCTTGAGTGGCCATACAAACTAGACAGCGTTGCAAAGCTGCTGTGCTGTGTGCCTTCCCGAACCAGTGGGCTAAGCAGGCATTCCGGGAAGAATGTTTGCTATCATCGTGTCATTAGTACTCTTTGGACTTGATCCCATTTTTCCATTGTTCCTTTGCACGCTTTTTACTAGGATAGGATTTTTAGCTTGGCTTCATCATTATCAACTCCATTTATTTATTTATTGAACTACTCATGTATACAGCAAAGTGATTCAGTTACATATATGTGTGTATTTCTGAATAGGAAAAGTCTTTATTCAATCAGGAACAAGACTTCATATATCAATGATTCTCCAGTTGAAATCAACAAGCATGTGCCTAGAGTCCTTTTCCACCAGCCAACAAAATCCAAGCCCTTTCTTCCTGTGTGCCAGCTGAAAAACTCATACTTGCACAGAATGCTGTTTTTAACCTGTACTTAAGGACTGCACACGGAGTCACTAAGAATGCCTAAACTTTGATAGCCAAGAACTAAAATTAGCATCTACTTTCCTTGAGTGGCCATACAAACTAGACAGCGTTGCAAAGCTGCTGTGCTGTGTGCCTTCCCGGACCAGTGGGCTAAGCAGGCATTCCGGGAAGAATGTTTGCTATCATTGTATCATTAGTACTCTTTGGACTTGATCCCATTTTTCCATTGTTTCTTTGCACGCTTTTTACTAGGATAGGATTTTTAGCTTGGCTTCATCATTATCAACTCCATTTATTTATTTATTGAACTACTCATGTATACAGCAAAGTGATTCAGTTACATATATGTGTGTGTGTGTATATGTATATATATGTATATATATATATATGTTCTTTTCCAGATTCTTTTCCATTATAGGTTATTACAAATTATTGACTATAGCTCCCTGTGCTATACAGTAAATCCTTGTTTATCTATTTTATACATAGTATTATGTTATTATGTACCAAAGGGGAAAGGTGGGGAAGGGATTAATTAGGAATATGAGATTAACAGATACACAATATTATCAATTCCATTTATTGAATAATTATATCATTGTTATAAAATATAGACTTCAATAAATTGGCAGTGTTTGAAAACTAGTTCCAAATCAGGAAAGGAGTTTATCAAGACTGTATATTGTCACCCTGCTTATTTAACTTATATGCAGAGTACATTGTGAGAAATGCTGGACTGGATAAAGACAAGCTGCAATCAAGACTGCCAGGAGAAATATCAATAACCTCAGAAATGCAGATGACACCACCCTTATGGCAGAAGATGAAGAAGAACTAAAGAGCCTCTTGATATAAAGCAAAAGAGGAGAGTGAAAAAGCTGGCTTAAAACTCAACATTCAGAAAACTAAGATCATGGCATCTGGCCCCATCACTTCATGGCAAATAGATGGTTTAAAACTCAGCATTCAGAAAACTAAGATCATGGCATCTGGCCCCATCACTTCATGGCAAATAGATGGGGAAACAATGGAAACAGTGTCAGAGTTTATTTTTAATGCTGGGAAAGATTGAAGGCAGGAGGAGAAGGGGATGACAGAGGATGAGATGGTTGGATGGCATCACCGACTCGATGGACATGAGTTTGAGTAAGCTCTGGGTGTTGGTGATGGACAGGGAAGCCTGGCGTATTGCAGTCTATGGGGTCACAAAGTGTTGATCATGACTGAGCAACTGAACTGAACTGAAAACTAGATGTTTTGGGTATGAGGATGATATCAGAGATCAGGATGATATCAGAGATGAAGAGTTCACATCAGATGGGGAGAAAGACAAATGAGTCCAGAAGCACCATGGCTAAAGGTGCTGCCCTCAACTTTGTAAAAAGCTCCTTATAAACAAATAAGACAGGCTTTTCAGGTGGTGCTAGTTGTAAAGAACCCAAGAAGATGCCCTGGAGAAGGAAATGGCAACCCACTCAAGTATTCTTGCCTGGAGAATCCCATGGACAGAGGAACCTGGAGGGCTACAGTCCATAGAGCTGAAAGGAGTCAGACATGACTGAAGCAACTTAGCATGCATGCATTGGATTCTTAAGGCTTGCATCTATGTCTGATATATAGTTCTTTTGCCGTGCTGTGTTGCAGCTAGCAGGAAGTCAGGGAATATGTTTACTAATTGAATTAATAACATTTGCTATCCTCCTTTTGTAGGAATACTAAATCAAAGGAATATCTAAGATTTTCTGTTTTGAATATTACAAATCACATCTAGTCCAGAAGTCTTATTTAGAGATTCACATTGCATGGTGTGTGTTGGTTTGATTTTCTTTACCAGTCTCTCTATGACCACTCTCTTTATTTTTTTTAACCAGTCTCTTTGTATAGATGCAGCTGTTTTTTTTCTCATCATTTATCTATCCTTCAAAGTTATTCATAGGGAGACCTGAGTCTATCATCCAGTGTCTGCCAGCTCTGCTCAGAACAGAATGAAAGCTGCCTTCTGTCATCTCCCTCATGCTCTCCTCTCTAGAGTATAT